AACCATGCCAACTGGCAAATTAAATTCACAGCATGTAGAAACAAATTCGAGTAAATCGAAAAAGACGCTGTTTAAAACTCAGAGTAGTGTTTAAAGCTTCTGTGTATGTGTATGCTCAAGCATATTTGCATTGCGTACTGATTACATGCAAGCAGCAAGTGCAGCTTGACACATGCCTCTTATTTACTTGCCCACTTTGATTGTTTCCCTCTCTTCTGTCTTTACTCCATTGAGAGAATTCTTTTTGTCACTTTCGGAGATTTCAACTTGGGAAAATTGGCCTTTCCATCTCTTCCCGACTTGCGTACATTACTCTCATCTCATGCACAATCCTTCTTCATCTGTTCTCTCGCCTATTATGCTACCCGCCACTTCTTTGCGCCTCCCTGCATTGCTGTTACCCTTGCGCCCCTCATTTGTTGCCCCCCCCCCCCCTACAACATTACTTCCCCTTCTACTCCTTGCTCATTTTTCACCGTCAGGTGTGCGATGTGGGTGAAATACAGAGTGGCGAAATAGGGAAGGCAGAGGATCAGAGCATGTGAACAGCAATTGAAAGCATGACAAAGATTTGAAAAAGTGGCTATGAGCACGGTAGAACGTGGTGCTTGAACACACCATAAAGACAAGAGTTCATTTGCTTTAACTTTGTGGGAAAATACTCATTTCCAGTAGATGGCAGCAGTTTATATTCATCATTGAACGAATGACAAAAGGATTCATCAAAACTGAAAATAGAGACGCAAACCCCCTGTTGAGAGGTCAAGATTACTGAAAAAGGGTGGACGCATATCAAGAATAGACTCAGCAAAAGCCTGATTCTCAAACGTGTCTTTAGCAGTGCATACCAAATTTTTTACACCACCTACCATCATAGGAAACACTTAACTCATTGAATCACAGCCATTGTCACTGGAGCAAACCCCTCAGTCACAGCCACCTTACTGGATTTTGACTGATCTTGCAAGGCCTACAGATTATTATGTTGCCAGATAAACATGCAGCCTACAAAAAGAAAGATGAGACCCTCTTCTTTCAGCTGAAAGAAAAGGTTGTTTCTTTTTCCATTACTCAGCAATCAGCATTAGAAAATAGCTACATTTCATCAGATTTCCAGTTTCTGAGGAAAAATAGAGAAATGCATGCATTTCAAGCACAATTTCAAGTATGGCACTATTATTTTCTTTTTGCTTTTTTGACAGCTCAGACATCTAAATATTTTCCTTCTACAAATCATCATAAACAACACCACATAAAAGGGCTTTTGCTAGGACAAAAATTTATTTGCACTCTATTGAACAGATGAAATGAACTATGAACAGACGTGAAACAATGAATTCAGTGAGGATGTGCACGTGTATGTTTGCATGTCCATGTGCACTGTACGTGCACATGTGCATGTCGGCGTGCACCATATGCATGTGTATTTCCCCACCATTGTGCAATTCTGGCATACATTTTTTGGGTGTGATACGAAATCGAGCAATTGCCCGACACACAACATGTCTTACACCAAATTCGGTTTTCACTTCGCTTGCCTTTGCAAAGGCTGACGCGGCACCTTCGCTGCACTATCCATGCACCATGCGAGCCCCATGAGGCACACAATTTTGGTACACCCGGAGCCTCTTTTGATGGCTGCTGCTTCCTTTTGCGCGGACGAAGTGTCCTGCTTTCAACAATTCCATCTCACTTGTCATGCTTGGTGGAAGATGTCCTTCCCCAAAAGCAATCCTGAAGGGTTAATCATTTTGATTACTCCTTCACTACTGGTTCGGGTGCACTTTCGACTAACTCCCGGCTGCGCCACACAACTTTATGCTATTGCACAACTCTTCCCATGCATCCTTCCCCCTTTACATTTACTTCTGCAGCATGATCCTGGCTGATCCTTTACACCCGCTGACCCTCGTGAACATGTAGAAAATGGAGGGGGAGTTTGAAAAGTATTTGGCAAGCACTGCTAAGAAGGAGGTGGAGATGTAATGTTCAAATACACCTTGTATCTGGCATGGCTGCCGTTTGGAGAAACAAAGCGTTGGAAATGAGATGAAGTGAAATTGCCTTCAATTGACTGTCAGAATCCCAAAGCAGACACCAGAGAACTCATTTTTCTTAAATATGCAGACACCTGCAGTCAACACTCTCACAATCTCATGCACAAACATTGTCTGGCTCACTGATCTCACTTGCGGGAAGATTATCACCTGCAATGTATTTTCCATTTGTTTTTCCCCTGTTCTCTGTGGTTTGTCTTACATTATGCAATAATTAGGTGCGCATGCACAGATGATGCGAAAATCAGTGGTCAAAGAGCTGTTGGTACATTTGAGAACCCAGGTTATTATGGTGAATTTTTCTAAACACTTAAAGTTATTAATTATGCGAGGCATTTTAGAAGTGCCGGAGCCAAAAAGGATGAAATGTCGCTGAAATTGGAGCCTTTGTGTGATGGTGACTCACTCAAGGTTGCCACTTGCCAAAGTGGCATCTGTCAGCGACACCAATGAGTTTCATATTTGGCACAAACCGACGGCACAAAACATTCACTGTTAGAGCTGTTTCATCAAACCTTGAAGGACAAAATACTTTTGTCACTGAAGAAATTAAAAGTTGGACGAAATCACAAATGAGAAAAAAAAGAACATAAAATGTAATATGTCTTCACAGGCCGCAAATAAAATAACTGATTATGTATTTACAGTAGTCCAGTGTTCGAATTTTCCTCACTTTTTGAGAAGTTCAGGCAGGAAAGCTAAAATGTTTTAAATTCATATAATAATGTGCAGATTGTTAATCCAGTTAAGATGACTGCATCACAGTCGAGAGCTAACTGCCTTAAACTAATGTTAGGTTTTGAACTAGGGTTTTAAGCTACAGCTAGGGTTTCCGAATAGGATTTTAATTCTTGGCCAAGAGCTAAGGTTTTGAACGAGGTTTAGGCTTTCAAATTAGAATGTTGAACCAGGGTTCGAGTTTCAAACTAGGGTTTTAAACCAGTGTGAGGGTTTCTAACTAGGGATTTCAATTAGGTTAGGGATTCAAATTAAGTCTTGAACTAGTGTTAGGATTTCAAATTTGGGTTTTAAATTGGGTTAGGGCAGGGGTGTGTGAAAGAGCCATATAGCACAAAAAAAACCCTCCAAAAACAAATGTGTCTGGAGCCGCAAAAAAATAAAAGCCTTCTATCAAACTTACAATGAAGGAAACACATGCTGTATGTATGTAGGAGACTGGACTGTCTCAGAATTGTTTATGTTATTCATTCGTTTTTTGTGTGTTCACAAACCCCCCATATAATTTATTTTGTGATATCCTCGCTTGATTTTCTGTTTTGGTGTGGTGCATTATTTTCGCTTTTCTTGGTGTCATTGAAGTGATCATTAATTTCCATTTTTCGGAGGCTGTCTTTTAATGCCTCTTGAGTCGAACGAGAGGAGAGAAGGCACGGAGTCAGACGCAGACGTGTCTGTGTTTGTCGAGACTGTTAAAAGCATAAATAAAGTGTACGTTTTAAAAAAACAACACCACAGCTCTCCTTTTTTCGGAGCTGCAACATGTATCTATATCTATCTGAGCTACATTAGCCTACTATCAAAATTTGCTACAATTACACGGTGAGCCTTCATGATTAAATGTTGTTTTTCCATGCAGTGCATTCAGTAGAGCCCAACCTTTTTTGACCGAAGATCTACTTTTCGTTTAACCAACCTACCGCGATCGATCCGCGCATACACAATACACTTACAGACGCATGCCTACCTACGCGGAGGCATGGGACGCACTTTTGCAGCCTTTTTGACTATCGTAGCTCACGTGTACCGTTTTAAAAATGCTTTTCACGGCCCTCCAGATTCTCTTTGCCAGTACCCTCGGTGAATTGTACATGAAACGCCGTTTTTATTTATTTATTTATTTATTGCAACAGCCACCTGCCTTGCATCCCGCCCTGCTAATAGAAACGTGTGTCGCAGGCTGTGATGCAAATCTTCGTTGACCGAAACCTTGAAATGTAATATTTATTCAACATATTTTTACAGCATTGGGAAACGTTTAGAATGTTTGTGTCATGTTTTTACTCCTACAGAAACCTTATTTAAAACAAAACAATAAATTTCCCTCCCACATCTTTTTCCATTTTCAAACATTTTTTTATAATGCCTCAGGGAGCCACTCGATGGCTCTAAAGAGGTGCATGCGGCTCTGGAGCCGCGTGTTGCCAACCCCTGGGTTAGGGTAATAACGTAGTACGTATTTAAACTAGGGTCAGCGTTTCAAACTAGGGTTTTAAAATAGGACTAGTGTTTTAAATTGGGTTAGGAATTCAAAGTAGGACTTAAACTAGTGTTAGGGTTTCAAACTGAGGTTATAAACTAGGGCTAGGGTTTCAAGCGAGGGTTTCGACCTAGCGGGTGTAAATAAATATGTATTGTATTGTATTTGAAGATTCAGAATTGTCCATTGGTGTGAATGCGAGTATGAATGGTTTGTTTAAATGTGCCCTGCAATAAATTGGCAACGGATCCAATGTGTGCCCTGCCCGTCTACCAAAGTCAGCTGGGATAGGCTCCAGCTCATCCAAAAACTCACTGAGGACAAGGGGTATATAAAAATGTATGTATGGATATGATTTTAGCTTTATCTTTTTGGAGAAGTGTTTCTTATACTTTGATGACCTTGTTTAGCTTTACTGAAAGCAAAAGGGTCAATCGAAAGCATCATTATTTTCCAAAAGGTACATTATTTTAAATTCAATTCCTGTTTGACATGTAGCTAATGAACTTGTCTATTTTAATTCTTGTAGGAGATAAAGATGTGTTTCTGCCACCCACCTGCTTATCTAATATGAGCTTGATAGACTTGTATTGATCCAGCACCAACACGACGTTTGAGGCTTACAGATGGTGCTAATGTGTATATCACCATGCCAGTCTGGACGATTATTCTCGCACTCTAGCGCTTTTTTCCCCCAGTCACTGCCTCTCTTTCTCTTTCCACAGATGCTCTGTCAACTCATCATCTGCGAGTCATTGATCAGAACCTGGGAAAAACCTTGACAACTGCAAGTTACTGAACTACCGAGGGGAACATAAATGAAGTGGCATTGAGCGCTTGGGTCCAGAGTGGCTATTCAGTGCCGAGCTAATACATTCCAGGACACTACCACTTTCCTGACCCCACGTTCGATTGGATGGAATCTGGCTGACTCTGACTGATGTCCCTGCCTGCCCCCTCCCGCTTCAGCTCCTCGGGGGGCTGAGGCAACCTGCCGAGGAGCATGGGCCGAAGGGTGGCTGATCCGACCAATCCCGTTCCTGCACTGGGGGTTCCCCTGGCAGGAGGACGATGGGGACCGCTGTGCAGTGTTGGGGTGCAGACATCTCCTGGATTGCGGACTCTCTCTTTCATCAAACGGCACGTCAGCCAAGCGGCCAACCCACAGCGAGCCCTCACCATAGCAACAAGTGCAATGGAGACAGCAGGAGTTATCAGGAGTGACAGCAGCAGTTTGCCTCTGTCCAAGGAGACATCACAGAACGAAATCAACAACCAGACACAGGATGACATGGGGTCACAAGGGTCGGGCAGTGGCGTTTACTGCCAGATAAAAATGATCCAGGCAAATCCAACAGACTCAAAAAGAAAAAGGACATCAAAGTACACCAATGGCAGCGTGGTGGGTTCTGAAATGTTGGGAGGTGTCTGTACCGAGGCCCCAGAAGACAAGGAGCAGAGCCAAGAAAAAAGAAGGGTGCAGTCTCTACGTGGGGAGCAACATTGTTCTGTGGCAAAGACCAGGGGCATTTGCACGACCGTTCTCGCCACCCCACCTCGGCCCTGTCGGATGGTGACGACCTCCTCGCCCCAGCTGTGTGGAACATGTGGGAGGAAACGGTCACAGCTTACCCACTGCACAGGCGCATGTCGCAGAAGGGCTGCACCTCAAATATCATCCAGCCAGACTTTACCGCACCCCGCATGGAAGCAGGGTGCAGTGCAGAACCACTCAAAAAAGGAATCGGTTTTGGACATGAAAACCCAAGACGCATCAGTGAAAACCAGTAAAATCCCACAGTTGTCACACACAATGCCAAAAACAAACATTTCAAACTCTAGCAATGCAGCACAAACTCAGAAAAAAACAAATACTCATCAGACAAGGCCACATTCTGCAGAGTTTACACACTGCAAGGACACAGCCACACAAACAGCTGACACACACGATGACAGGACTGCACCACAAGCACCACTAACAAATTGTCCCACTAAAACAGAGGTAACAGAACCACTTTTATCAGACAAAAACAAGCATAACAAAAGTCAGCAAACAAATTTAGACACCACACCTACAGAACCCTCCGGTCAAATAAGTATAAAATGTAGCACCCCTCCAGCTCTCTCTGCAAAAAAGTCCCCCAAATCTACTGTCCCCAAACCATCAGGCCTCATAGATCCCAACAAAAACATACAACAGACAATTAACAGTCCCAAACCAAACCCCTCCAAAGAGACTAAACTGAAGAACTACACAAAGCAGAAGAGCAAATCTTTAGACGATCACACTCAGTCTTGCAAGACGCACAAAACAGCGCAATGTAACGGAGCTCCAGCGGGAATACTGGCTGGGAGTGCACCTCGCGGCCTGGAGAGCAAGTTACAGAGTGTGGAGGAGAACCTTGTGTCCAATCAAGAGAAGATCAAAGTCCTCCTCAATGTCATCCTAGACCTGGAGAAAAGCAAGGCCCTCAGCGAAGGGTGAGGGAATGTGGTGTTCTTTACTTGTCCATGTTTTGAGAGTTGGATGAAGTTCAGAAGCTTGTTGAGGATACTTTTCTCAGGAATTCATAAAATAGTGGCCTCGACTCTGATGAATCAGACCCCATTGATCGCTGGGTGTGTTGATGAGTCAGACCCCATCAATGGCTGGCTGTGTTGTCCACTCAAGACAAGCCTTACCTCCGAATAAAAACCTGGAGCTTTAACATTGTGTAAATACACATTCTCGAACACTATTTGAGGAAAATATGGTACACCCACTGGCCCTAGGATATAATGTAATGAATTTCAAATGCCATGCCTGTAGAGATTCAATGTAAAGTATGTGTAATCCTATCTCAAATCCAGAGGGCATGGAGTCAATTCCTTGCAAATCCTACACTCTTATATCTCATCTACCTGATAAGGTGAGTAGTCACCATGGTAACAACATTTCTTCCAGAGGTATTGACCCGAAGAGGGAAAAAAATCAGTTCCCCAAGCCCGCTCTAGCTACTTATTTTATTCCTGAATCTCATACATCCAAATTGGCCAATGCCCTCATTTAATTTACCAAACGCTGTCCACTTTTCTCTCTCTTTGAACTGCTCCCAGCTATAGAAGGTATCACTTACACCTTCAGATGATGTGCAGTGCTGGAGCCCTATTCCCCTGCTTCTTTGTCTTTCTTTCTGCAACCCAAATCACCTTTCTCACTAACAACCCTCATGTCTCTTTTTTCTCGCCTTCTGCCATCTGCTTGCATCCTGACAACCTGTCTAAGTACATTGTCATATGCTATGATTCATCTGCTGTGGCTTCCTACTGTTTGTCTCTTCACTTACCGTGGGGCACTCTCAAGCTTTACATCTAACTTCCTTTCAAGGACACTTTCTTAATGAATGCTAATCCCACATGATGTTACGCATATCTGGTTTTATTATTCCAAAAACAGAATATATAATAGCACTTGCGTTGGTGTTCATTTGGTAATGGTGGCCGGTAAGTGCATCATCCCAAATGCATTGAGCTGGTAATTAATCTCCCCTCCAGAAAAAGCGACCCAACCGTTTTAGTGGCACGACTATTTAACAGATGCAACCATTGCCAGTTTTCCCCATGTAGCGTGTCCACCTAAACTCTTTTTTTCAACACGGGAGTGCCCTCATCCCCTTTCAGGGTAGACAGATGTCCCACACAGCAGGCTAATCCCTATCAGATTACATTTGAGAAATGCAATCAAATGTTTAAGGCTCCTCAACTGAGTACGCAGGCACTCCAGCACTTGGTGTGAGTAGCTGAATGTTATGGGCCTTTGTATCTCATGTTAAGAATTTGAAAAATTAAGGATGAAAAAGATGAGCTGAATGGAAGAATCAGGATAAAAAATGTGCAAGCTCAAACAAGAGTTCAGACCACAGAAGGAAACTGTGATAAAGCAAAAAGACTTATGCTGCTCTGCTAAGAAAATAAATGATCAAGTACCAACCAGCCAACCAACCAACCAACCAACTAGCCAACAGCCGTTTCCTTTAAACTTTCAATTGAAAAATTTTAAAACAGCTGCTGCGGCAAATTTCTTTCGACGAATTTGCATCGATTGGATATGCATATCATGTTTTGAACATATTAAGATCAAAACATGTATGCCCTGTCTGGCTTTCAGAAAACATTCAGGAAAAGCTCACATTCAACTCTTTCAAATCCTGAGGTAAATTACATCGGTAAAGCTCGTGTGCTATTTTGGTCCCAACAACAAAGAGACCCAGCTGTGTGCACTGTGAGTGGGTGGAGAGAGCAAGAAAGGTTGTGACATGACGAGTACAACCAAAAGAAAGAAAATTTACTTCCAACTTACACAATTACACACACTATGGCCATATTGCGTGTGTTATGAAATACTAACTTTAGCTGATAGTATTTCACTCAAATGAAAGGAAATATCTGAAAAAGTCAAAAAACCTAATTAGGCCTATGTAGAAATAATTATTTAATTACACATGCCAGACTTGTGTGCGGTCAGCGTGGAATCGGTTCCTACTCAGTGACGGTGTGAATGTGGGTATGAAACGTCGTGCGTCTATCTGTGCCCAGCAACTGACTGGTGACCAGTTCAGGATAACATCTGCCTTCCTGCCCAAGTCGGCTGGGATAGGCTCCAGCAACTCCCCGCACCCTCTCCAGGATAAACGGTTTTCAAAATGATGGCTATGTTTTCTGTCCACCAATAGAGTTCACAACATGTCTGAATTGTTGCCAATTTAGCAACGTTTTCACTATATTGAGTGACTTTTGTGACCCCTATAGTACTACTTTTCCAAAAAAGTGACAAGCAAAATGTTAACAATGGTCTTAATGTTAGCAACATTTTTATTTCCTGCACAGTGAATGGAAGAGGTCCAAGAACGTTTACTCAATGCAGATCTACAGTTTCAGATACCGTCCGTTACTGTACATTACACATTACTGTCAATAATATACTTCATGCTTAAATACTGTTTCTTTGGTAGTTGTGACAATGAATTGGTGGTTGGTATGGTTAAAGTCCTAATTTTCAAAGTGTTAATTTTAATGACCACTTGTCATTTTGTTTAAAATGTTTATTTCATAATTAAAACTTCATACCTCAATATCTTCACACATAGCAATTTATTGAACCAAGACAATATGCTTTTACTAAATAAAAATAAAAATAATTGTTCATGTTCACAGTGGGTGACTGGTTAGCACGTCTGCCTCACAGGTCGTGGAGTTCGATTCCGGGCTCCGGCCTTCCTGTGTGGAGGTTGCATATTTGCCCCGGGCCTGCGTGGGTTTTTTTGGAGGGGTATTCCAGTTTCCTCCCACATTCCAAAAACATGCGCCTTATATACGGATCAATACTGTATTCTGATTTCTTGGAAGTAGTGTTTGTTCTGTAAAGCGCTTTGTGATGGCTGTAGCGGTTGTGAAAGTGCGATATAAATAAAGATGTATTGTATTCCCGTTGGTGTAGCTACATCTCGGGGATTGTAGCTTCCATTCTATGTGTCTTATAACGCGGTGCGCCCTATATATGAAAACGGTTTTAAAATAGGCCATTCATTGAAGGTTCGCCTTCTGAAGTGCCTTATAGTGCGGAAAATACTGTATTTGTTGTATACTTTGTATATATTTTCATGTGTAATACATTTAGATTAAATGGTATGTATCTATTTTTTTAAGGAATAATATTTTCAGATCAGAATATACAAAGTTCGAGAAAAAATAAGCACTGAATCTGATACTGTGTGATATGTTAAGGACTTGTTTTTTTCTTTCTGCAGCCGAAGCTCATACAGAACAGGTCAGGACATTAACAACTGTCCCACCTGCCAAAAGACAGCCTGCATCATCTACAGGTAATGACAGAAGCTGTACACTATTTGTTTTGATGCTGAAGTTCCTTTTTTCTTTCTTTGCTTTCTCTGCCTCAAAACCTTTTCATCACACCATTCTTTTTTTTTTTTCATTACTTCTTCAGTCTGGTCTCCTGCTGGGTTTGCCCTTTCTGCTCCTTCTAACACTACAGACAGCACTCATTTAATTTATCAGTGTTGACGTTTGAAATGTATACATTCATCTCACTCTTTTCTTTTTTTAAATCAATATGTGAGTGATGTGATATTCTCCCTCCGAAAATTATTTACACAAAGCAATGTTCTGTGCATGCAAGCGCTGATCACTCGTGCCTGTCTTGTCTTTGTAGAGCGAGTGTAATACCGTGGTAAGTCAAAGCGTTCCGAGATCCTGTGTAGCTAAGGGGCGTCCGTTGGCACTTCCTTATACAACATACCGTATACCTGTTTAATACTCACATCATTATGCAAATCATCAGGTTCTCATCACTTGTATACAGCCTAATTTGCATTTCATGTCATGTTTTGAAGCCTGCATCCATGTGCCCATTGCCAAAAGCCTTTATCATTCCTATGACACTGAGTGCACACACTTAGCTACAATAGAATGCAAAAATATGCTCTGTACAAGTGCAAATACATCAGGTGCTAATTAAACAAACAAAACAGAAGGACTTTGTTTTGTTTGTCCCAGATTTAACATATTTCAGTTTCAACTGTGCAAGCAGTCCACAATGACCTATCAAAGTACGCAGAATCATGCACTCCGTAGAGAGACTTATGCAAACTGAATGACAAACACACAGAAAAAGTCAGACATAGATAGCTCAAGTTTTTACAATTGTATAATACGATATTAATCCATCCTTTAAAGTAAATTTCTGTCAGTGGAGATGAGTGAGGGACCTGGGATTGAAACATCATCTCTTATGATTTGCGATTTTAAAAAAATTGGTTTTCAAGTGGGCTGGATATTTTGCTTTAGTCGTTCTTAATTAAAGTCGATGGATGGAGACAAAGGAATAAACTTTTGACAGCCCCTCTGTTTTCCTCTGTGAGCTTGAACAGCCCAAATGGACAGAGAGGAAGAGAAATTCCACTTATACTTTATAATAAAAGAGAGCATACGAGAAAAAAAAATCAAAAATCAAAAGGGTTGTTCCAATGATAAGGAGAATTAATGCAAGACACTTTCAAGTTTAGATAAAAAAGAAATTGAAACTGAATGAATAGCTGAGTTGACTTATAACCACCCATTTACGCATATCATCTTGGGATCAGTGCATCGCTGTTATGTGGAGACAATGTGAAGGAAAAAAAAACACCAATAGGAAAAAAATAAAAATAAGCAAAACGGAGAATTTGACTTTTAACTCCTCTAAAGATTTATTGCACTGATTTGCACTGATCCTCACCTCACACCTCATTCACCTTGGCCATCTTGTGTCAGATGGTGAACATTCATGGGGTTATTGAAATGGAAAAGACAAATCTTTTCGGTCATGGCAAAGGCATGGAGTGAAATCAAAGTCTGATATAGTTGTTCTCTCAAGAAGAAAATCTCTTAAATTCAGATGGAGGTAGACCATGACAGAAACAAGGTGTATCGTCTGATGTTCTTCTCTGTCTGTATATACATTACAGTAGGTGGACAATGTCTCGTCTGGTGTATCTTCCTGGTATCATTTATTGATGGCAGTCCTCTTTACCCATTTGTGTTGTACATCTCCCTGCCTCCTCCTCGCGCTCCCTTGATCCCCGATCTCTTATTCAGTGTGCAGTGACCTCTCCATTGTCCTTTCTCTCTCGCATCATCTGAGGCCCTCACTCAGCCTCTTATTCAACTGCTCTTACTGATCTTTTGAGGTCCTTCTCTTCCTCGTTCACTCCGCGCTGACCCCAGATTCATGAAAGCAGAGATAGCTTTCAAAGTTCCATCTCTGAAATCTTTCTTTTCTGCCTGCATGCATCCACCCAAAAAAAAAAAAGAAAAGTCTGTGCAATCCGCCTCTCATCTCAAGATGACTCAGCTTCTGGAAATCAGGGTAGCAAATCAGTCCAATTATCAATCAGGGTTTAGGATAGACCCTCGAGTTTCCCCCCATCTCCCTTTTCCACCTGTCTGGATATGTTGACGCCAACAACAAAGAGATTGTGAGCCAGGCCCAACATCAGTGACCTCTGAATGACTGGAAAAAACATTTCACAGACACACTGCATTTATGACAAGAAAAAAATCTGCACAGGAGGAGACCAACTCTATTTTTTTCTGTTCACTTTCCGACAGTATATTTTCCTGCAAACATAAATGGCCAGGTACCGCAATACTATTTTTTCATAAAAACATATCCGTCTTTGAGTTCTGGAAGGTGGAAGGACCTTTTCCACAGCAAGTTTAGCTAAGGCATTCTGGAAAATAGTGCATGACAAAAAGTTGTTCAGACCTAATGTGAATTATTAGGTAGTCATTGGTCATTTTTGGTATTTGCTACTGAAGCCTGTGAGGGATGTCAGAAAATTTATGGAACCGGTGTCACAAAAGATTGATTTCAAACCCAAGAGGCGGGAAAACTCATGGCACCATGAGAACGCGTCCGCTGACAATGCCCTGAACATCTAACAGTTCCTGTCCAAGAAAAACATTGCCATCCGTGCTTGAGCAAATTCCCAACTCACCTGACCTGACTCAGTGTGATTTTTTTTTTTCATCATTCCCAACCTAAACGAGGTCCTCAAAGGGACACATTTTGAAGACATGGATGACATTAAAACTGACGTGATGACGACGCTGCCGAAAAATCCTGGGAAAGTGCCTTAGACTCCAGGATGATAACTTGGAAGGGGGATATGCATGTGAAATACAACTTTGAGCCGTTAGTCCTGGAACCTTTCTGACACACCTTAGACATATCAATGTTTTTGTTTCCCTTAAGCAGCAGCCTTATACATACACACACCTACTAAAAACTGCACCGAAAGTAAAGGTCTGACAAGCTTCCAAAAAAGGACCTGCAGCGATGGATACTTCTGAGAGATTGGTTTGGGAGGAGTGCTGGAGAGGGGGAAGCTCAGCATGAGTAGGGGATGGGGCTTTGGGGCGAATTGGAAAGCCGTGAGGGTTTTACTTTGAACACATCACACAGCATCCACCCTTTCCTCATCCTCTGCTTGTGTACTTCTTTACTCTGATCATTTTATTTCCAGCGCACCAATTCATTCATCTTTCAGCTCAAGGGCATATAAGTGAAGAAGGCTACCGTCACGACAAAGGATACGGAAGACACATACGTTAAGAACAGTGTTGACATCTTGATTTGAATGCATTTTCTCAACCATTCTTCGAGGTGACAGAGTTTTGGCAGTAGATTTTCTCTTTAAATCGATATTCCCGCCATCCTTCTCTTGTCGGTAATAAGTTATTTAATGGTCCTCATGACTGTCTGAAAAATGAGCCGCATAATAAAAAATAAAAATAAAAAATAACCTCAACTTGACTTGCGACATTACCCTGTATCTAAATTGCTGCATTTCCACATTAACCACACTGCTCTCTCTCTTCCACACTGCAGTGTGGAGCATGATTTCCGCCAGCAGGAAGGACGCCTTCAGGGGGTGATGGAGTCCCTGGAGGGAGAGTACGATGTGCCTGCACCTCTTCTGACCAAAGCCGCAGTGGCCGCTTCCCAGGCCAGCCGGTCCAGCGCCAAGGCTCGTGTCAAGAAACTCCGCAAGAAGTGTTTCTGGTGGCTCTGATAGTAGCACAGCAGCCTCAGCAGGGATATAAGTGTGGTCCGTTCCAGAATGTTCCACTGCAAGGGAATTTTACTGCGGTACTGTGGATTTGGAAACTAACTGGGAATGGTACAAAGATATGAAAGTTCAAAGGAGCTGCTAAATGTCCAATGCACTGTATACCAGACCGAATCATTAATTTTCATTTTGTGGTCCAAGTGGGGAGCCTGTCTTCTACATCGTCTGAAGTAAACAGATGGAACATTAACGATCAAGATTGTTTGCCACTTGGCAAAGTGTTTGTCCCGGATGATGCATCAAAAGGATTTATGGCCGAATGGATTCATTCATGTACGGACAGAAATGAATCACAATGTAGCCATTTTGGCTTAATTACAATGGGAAAAATTGAGAACCTCAATACGAAAAAAAATGGGAATAGACCAGCCTAATGCTGGTACACTGTTTCAAAAGTTGAATGTAGCAATAAGTGAAGCATCAGTTAAGACGTGTGGAGGAACTCAAGCAGAAGAACTCAATAGGGCAATAACGGGACAGTCTGTTGGGTGAAGAGAGCAAAGTCTTTGAAATGTCTACTGAGAACACATTAAGAGATAACATTATGGAGCAACTGATCACAGACTGACAGCCTGTCTCACATTATTAACATTTGTGTCAACGCTGACCCACGGACTGATTGATTCTATACTGCATTTCCATTCAAAGCGGAAGCCGCTTGCTCAGACTTTATACAAGTGTCGTCACTTAGAGTACATTCAACAACAAATGAATGTGTTGCAAAATATGCGTAGACCAGCTATCTGTTCATTGTTCGAAATTGGCTTGTCTGGATTGTTCACAAATGTGCCAGGTGGGGGCCAATCTGAGCCCAAAGTAGCAAAAGAGAGAAGAAAATTAATGTCCACCCAATATAAACAGTTGGTTACAAACTAATACACTCTGGATTGGGCTATTTTATTTATTTATTTATTGTGGGACATGATTCTATTCACACAAAGGCCACACCATTATGATTAATGCTACTGTCAAAGAGGTTGTGTATTTAGCTAGCTAGGTATGCCTACGCCCCGAAAATGCATCTTTTTTCAGATAGTCCGGTGGCTTTAGAGCGCCTCATTATCAGCCGAAATGATATGCATGTCACGCAGGAGAGCATGGACAGGGAAAAAAAGTCTGACTTAACAGCTACAGTTCGTATATGGACTAGCTAGCATGGCTGCTTTAGAGCGCCTTGTTGGCTATGAGTGAGCACAAATCACATCGAGGAGGCAGAAGAGTGAGGTTAAAAATAAATGAATAAATAGGACAGAACTTTGAGTGGATATATTTTCTCAACTCAAAAATACCCGTATATTTATGTGCAGGCATGAGAAAGATGCTCGACAAAGTATCATCCATTTTGGTCCTTGTTCTGGTAATTGATTGACAGCTACTATTTGAGCAGGGCGCAGTTTCATTGCAATCAACAGAAAAACCCACAGTGTTTGAAAGCTGAGAGAATCTCTTGATTTTTCACTATTGTGAAGCCTCGTTTTATAGACGTTGCAATTTTTTTGTAATTTAAATTCTACGGGGTTGTTAACAACAGTCTTCTCTGTAGTGTGTCAAATTGTAAAGAACATATTTTTTTCACTTCATAGGGACTTTAACAATATGTTTATTTTCATAGATAGCAACGTGCAGTGGTAAGGAACACCACAGACACCAGACTGAGCTGTGTCTGATAGACCTTTCATGTTGTTGAATAACCAAAGTACGAGAAACACCTTTCCGCAGGATGAAAAATCAATACCACGAGACTGTAACACTGTAAACTACAACCACAATAATGCATTGATGACTGTCCATCCAACCATCTTTTTCTGTTTATCTGGGGTTGAGATTAGGCAAGGAAACCCAGATTTCCATCTCCCCAGCCAATTCATCCAGCTCTTCCAGGGTAATCCCAAATTGTTCCCAGGTCAACCAGGAGACCTAGGGCCCTATTTTGGTGTTGTGCCACTTGTGCATTAGGGATACAAACAGCAAATCCATGTTCATGCCGGGGCAAGTCTAGTTTACCATGTTTGAGAAGTTGTAGACTTCTCAAAAGCAGGTTTATTTTTGCAGGGCATGTGGTCTAATGCGATTTCGGTGAATTTGATCAAGGCACTGGCAGAATGATCCGGCGCTCCACGAATGTATGCAGTGTATGTCATCGTGTTTCATTCATAAATATGACACCGGGCAGCACAGAGGTCAACTGGTTAGCACGTCTGCCAGGGTTTGATTTCAGGCCCCGTGCTTCCTGTGTGAAGTTTGCATGTTCTACCCATCCCTGATTGGGTTTTCCCCGGGTACTCCGGTTTCCTCGCATATTCCAAAAACATGCACCGTAGGTTAATTGAACGTCTAAATTGTCCGGAGGTATGATTGAGAGTGTGAATGATTGTTTGTCTGTGCCCTTTGATTGGCTGGCAACCAGTTCATTGTGTACCCCACATAATGCCCAAAGACAGCTGCTATTGGCTCGAGCAGTCCAGCGACACTTGTCAGGATAAACGGATTAGAAGATGGATGGGTGGACGGATGAAATATGACACCTGCGTGGGACAATCCCTCTGAATCATGGGTTACAGATGGTGTCTTGACAAGGGCCCGTAGCCTCTCCAGCTTGTCTTGGGTCATTTCCAGAGCATGCACCTGATAGAACCTGACCGGAATACCTCATCAGTGAGGCCTGCTGATCCAATGCCCAAATAACCTCATCTGGTTCTTCTCAATGTGATGAGCAGCTACGCTGAGCTCCTCCTGGTTGGCCAAACTTATCTCTATAAGGGAAAGTTCAGACACGCTGCAGCAGAACCTCATTTAGGCTACTTGTTCTTTTGCTCACAACCAGAAGCTTGGCCATTCATGTAGCTCAACCGGTACAATAAATCGAGAGCTTTGCTTTTCAGCTCAACTCCTCCTTCACCACGACAGATTGATACAGGGTCCGCATCACTGTAGACTCTGCACCAATCTTCCTATCGATCTCCCGCTCCATCCTCCCCTCACTTTTGAACAAGACTGCAAGATAAAGTGCACTCCCCTCCACTTGAGGCAGGATCTCAAGGAGAGGGCACTCTACACTTTTCTGACTGTGTACAATGGTCTCAGAATTTTTTGTTGCTGATTTTATCCCAACCCATTCACAATCAGCTAAAAATGGCCCCAGTGACAGTTGAAGATCACGGCTTGATGGGGCCAACAGAACCACATTGTTTGCAAAAAGCACAGACATGATATTGAGATCACCAAACCAGCCAATGCTTTGGCTGTGCCTAGAGATTCTGTCCTTAAAGTTTTTGAACTGAATCGATGACAAAGAGAAGCCTGGGTTGAGGACACCCCTCAATTGAAACAAAGCCAGCAATGCGGACCAAACTCAAGACTGAACATAATTTACTGTACGGCTGCACAAATGTTTTCGGATCTCATTAAATACATTGCAATCATGTTGTGGCCATTCAGTGTATCCTACTCTGCCGAGGTAAACACATATTTTAATATCTAGAACTTAAATCTGATGCGTAGCCTTAAAGCTGCTGCCTGGGTATTAACAATACAATAAACATACTCCCATAACACACAAAACAATCCCCCCAACCCCTCATCTCATCAAAATGTGAAACAAGTCTGTTTGTCACGTTGACATAGTGGATTCCATTCAGGTGAGTTGACAGTGGCACAATTTACATAGATGCAGACGTTTTATTATTAGAAACACACATGCATGCGCACTAATGTGCGTCTCAACCAAGTGCGCGCACACACACACACACACACACACACACACACACACACACACACACACACACACACACACACACACACGCGCGCACGCACACACACACACGGCTGTCTTTGTAACACACGCTTCCACACACAAACCGAGGCAATTCAGTTACACTTCAAGCAATACAAACCTTTCACCCGATGAGTGACTCATTCAGCTAACAGTTGACCATTAGCCTACAATTACAACCCGGGATGATACGATACTTAAAAATACAGTGGTCTATTCCAGGGGTCCCCAACCGCCGGTCCGCGGACCGGTACCGGTCCGCAGGGCATTTGGTACCGGGCCGCACAGAAAGAACTTGCCTTAATTCCGTTTTATTTATTTCGGAAAACGAAAGATGTTTTATTTTGAAAAATTACCGGATTCTCCGTTACATCCGTCTGTGTCACGCTTGACACACGTCAAGCTGCGCTTCTTCGTCACGTGACTGATTACGCTAAAAACAAAACGCTAGAGCTCGCAAAATGAGTAATAAAACTGCTGGAGAGCGCAAATGACGGCGGCCTTAAAAGTACGTTCGAGACAACTGGATTAAAGTTATGGCTGAATATTCTGAGATCGCCACAGTAGCACTGTTGCTATTTCCGACATGCTACCTGTGTGAGGAGGGGGTTTTCTGCAGCAACGGCGACTAAAACAAAATTACGAAGTAGACTGGACACACTTGAGGTGTCATTGTCTCCTATTACCCCGAGATGGGACCGTCTGGTTGCAGAAAATCAAGCTCGGGGCTGTGGTGAGTCGTCATTGTCATGCACTTTGAATTTGCGTTGTATCGTATTTTGAAGGCATTAAACATTACCATAGCGATCGGAGTGTTGCGGCCAGATTAGACGCTCCTTGTGTTTATTATTATATTTCGAAAACACCACAGTTTCCATGCAGCTCATACCATATTATTTTGTTGTATTATTTCCGCCACACCTTAAATGCCGGTCCCTGAAAATATTGTCTGACATAAACCGGTCCGTGGGGCAAAAAAGGTTGGGGACCCCTGGTCACTTCGAAATGTTTTTTTTTGTTTGTATGTTTTCTTTTTTCCCAAAGCTTTCCCATAATGGTTCATGCTTCTCCTCACATTCCTCTGATGTGTAGAATAAAGTTGTGCAGTGTATTTTCCACAAGGCGCAGTATTGCTGACTCAACACAAATGCCAGTATGCTGTCGTTTCAAACCCAAGGAGTCAATAAATGTATCTGATTCTATAGGTATAAGATTTGGCAACAGCTAAACCAATCACTCGCTGGCCACAAAATTAGGTTCAGCTAAAACAACCCCTCTCCGACAGTGTCATTCAAAAGTGAGCATTACTGTCTTTGAGAAATATGCAGTATATATTGGTACAGCTCTTGTACTGAATCTCATTAGTCTGCTCAAGGATACCTAATCCTTTTGTATTGTTCTACTTTAGTCGCACACATTGTAGCACGAAGAATGACTGTACTTACAATTAGCGCATGCTCTCGGCCCATTGAAATGACTGTCTGGTTGATGATCCCCAGCAAAGAAACCACAATGTCTTGGATGTGCTGAAATGTTTCCCCCTGTGAAAATGTAGCCACACAAAGGTTGACAAAGGTCAATTAAAAGCAAACAAAAACACAGGATAGTCTTCACATGCAGAAAATGAGCCACAATAACATTTAACAGTCATTTTATGAGTGAAGTTTTGAACTCCAAGAGAGTTTGACATGAATATGAAGGTAAGTGCGTGCGCGCATTTGTGTGTTTGCAATTTCTATCCTTTGTATCCCTTTAGGGTCACATTTCTCATTTGCAAAGAGGTTGAGGCCTTATCACAGTTCTCACTTCCACAGTTTAGATTTCTGAAGTGTCATTCCTAAACCTGAAACTGAAATGTTAATTTAGTAGTGAAATATGAAATTGGGAGAAGTGGGCAAAGTTTGCATTTTCCTTGTGGTACTGCTCCAGGCATTGAGAAAAATATGGGTAATACGATTAGAGAAATGATATATCTTTTAAAAACAAACACTAGAAAACTGCAACAGTATTAATAGTGCAGGTTTGTCGGCTGCTTGAGAATTTTACATTTGCAGAAATTAAGAGAGCTCTGTTTAAAAATGAAGCATTTAGAATAAAGCTCTGTTTAAAAATATGTGGTCAAATAATTCTTTCGTAGTTTCACATGTGGGGAAATTCACGGTTTCTTCTTGTGTGTTTCTACACAATCTTGCTATCATAATCTGTGCCTGATCAGCCACGCCGAAAAACCATGGGGGAAGACCAAAAATAACTCTGTGCTAAGGTCCCCAAATAACAGACGTTATCTTCCAAAATTTAAAACAAAAATAACTACAAAGCAACATGGAAATTATTTTTAAAGGTGGCTCATAAATCTACCACCCCCCTTTCTCCAGGCTGCCCATGTCAAACATCAGGCTGCGAATTTCACTCCTTCTATCAATCTCTCTCTCTCTCTCTCTCTCTCTCTCTCTCTCTCTCTCTCTCGTTTGGCAGAACATCTTAATCAGGAACCACCCAGAGAGGCGAAGGGGTGAGGGGAGAAAACAAGAGGCAACAGAGCAACATAACATTCCCATCACCTCTTTGCCTCCTCCTGTTTGCCATGGTTGCTATGGTAATAAACTAAAAAACTGTGGAAAAGCAGTACAGAATATGAATGGATGAAAACAAACACCAATTTGGTGTTTAAAAAAAAAAACCACTAATCTGCAAGAAAAAAAAACATCACTCACAATGTAGATGTGCCTATGACTTGGTATTTGACTGTGTGTCCATTATATCTAAAGCACGTAAACCAACCAATTATCTCTTGTGACTAACTGCTTC